GGGGGGGTCAGACCCACCGTTTGTACAAAATTAAGTCCTCTTCACCAAAGGATGCTTTAAACCAAATACCAAAATTTGTCCATCATAGTTGACTTACTGTTTACTGTTCTCATAACTGAAACTTTATACAGGTATGATATTCAGCAGTTTAATACTCACATTTACATCAACCACACGCTGCTTTGCTAAGCACAAATCTATGAACTTTTGTGCATCCTCTCTTAGTAAAATGTTATCGGGTGACATTGATCCATAGGTTCTTGCCACGGATTCTTTAGCCTCCTGAAACACCAACCATAGAGTTATCAGAAGCAAAATGTTTCAGTGATTTGCTTACATAAATATCAAGGACACGCTGATTTTCTTTGCATAAATAGTAAATCTTAATTGGCATCATGATAGTACTATTCTCCCACTGAACCTTGTACAAAGGTATTGAAGACTTTTTTCTGAGTGTCATGAAATGATAACCAAAGACGGCAATGAAATATAATAATCTTTTTTGCAAAGGTTTATGTTTTTATTTATTTCATTCCAAATGGCCCACTCACATGTGAGCTAATATTTTTATACTCTAGTCATTAATTTATTTTTTAAAAAACAAGAGGCTCAATGGGCCTGCATCGCTCACCTGGTATTAGTTTCACAATTGTAGCCTTAAAAGTGAACTAAAATAAAGCTACAGGCAAAATATCAGTATTTATGACAATAAGAAATTCAAAAGAACCTGTTATAAATCCTGTTAAAAGATTTAAACCCATTTGCCCCTGTGACTTTGAAAGTCGAACGAAGTCATTATGTTGAACAAACTTTATAGCCCTTCATCTCAGCATGCAATTTGCAAAATATCACACTAGACCTTTTGTTTATTGAGATTAGGTCATTTATGGGTATACACATTTGACCAAAAAATACCTTGAAAGTGGGTCAAGGTCATTCAAATTAAAACACTTGATAGCCCTTCATCTAAGCATGTTACTGGCCAAATATCAACACTTTTAGCTTTTTCGTTATTCAAAAGAAGTTGTTTAAAAGTTTAAAACATATTTGACACCTATGACCTTGAATAAACGTCAAGGTCATTCATTTGAACAAACTTAGTAGCCCTTCATCCCAGCATGTTATGGGCCAAATATCAACATTCTGAGCCATTTGGTTATTGAGAAGAAATTGTTTAAAGATTTTATACATATTTGACCCCCGTGACCTTGAATATGAGTCATATTGATTCATTTGAACAAACTTTGTAGCTGTTCATGCCAGCATGTTACTGGCCAAATATCATCATCCTGGGCCTTTTGGTTATGTAGAAGTTTTTTTGTTTTTTTAACATATTTGACCACTGTGACCTTGAAAATGAGCGAAGGTCATTCATTTGAACAAGAAATAATAATAATAATTTGAGGTTCTTACATATGTATATACCGCTTTATCACAACTTAGTTCATAGGCTGTCTCAAGGCGGTTCACAAATTAACAAACTTGGTAAGTCCTTCATCCCAGCATGCTACTGGCTAAATATCATCACCCTAGGCGTCTTGGTTATTCAGAAGAAGTAGTTTAAAGTAAAAAGTTGACGCTGGACGTACGCCGCACCATGGCATAATATAAGCTCACTAGGCCCTTTAGACCAGGTGAGCTAATGAATATATAAATCGTACATTTTACACAATTAGATGTTTTGCCTTTTATTTAATATGGTATGACTTTTAATAAACCCATCCATTTTTAATGCAGTTCAGTGAAAATGCAAACAAACGTGCCTTCATTGTCCTGTTATAACCTTTCCCCTACTTTAATTTAGAGATTATCTATTGGCCTCTAGGCTAATTGAAGGATAAGTGTGGTAATCCTGGTAGTTATGCCTGAACTGCAAATATTAACGGTTGTCTTATACATATTTTTATATATGAATTGTTAGAATCTACGTACCTTGATGCAGTGCTCCCTGAATAACTTGACGATGTTCAATCAGGCCTTTTGTCCGTGAGGACCTGTCCAGATCAGGGTTGCCATATCACTCCCATCAGACATATTCCCTGCTTTTTGCCCGAGCATGAAGTGAACTTTGATTCCATCTTGGTTGTAGACCTCTAGCAGTGTTGGTATCACAAAGGTTGCTGGAAATGTGAAGTATCAACATGGTCATGACAATAACATTTAAAACTTTTCTGTTACAGTTATTGAGTAAGTAGATATTTATGTATGTTTTTGTGAATTTAAGAAAATTTGCATGAATGTTGTATAATTAATAGAGATATTGTTACATAGTAACCGAAACAATAAAACCCTATAACACCAGTCCTGTCAATGGATTATTACATAACATCATTAAAGATATAATAAACAAATTAAACCAAACAAAAGTACAGGGCTTGGTATAGATGTTGTAAATTGAAAGTTGTCACCCTTGGACCATTAGCTGTAAATATTTTATAAATTGATTATGATTATATAAATATTACACTCATTAGAGTGTGACAGTGCCTATGGTCACCCCGAGGGTATAACTGTCACCAGAGGGGTGACCCTAGGCACTGTACGTCACACTCTAATGAGTGTAGTATTTATTTTATTATACTGAAAGTCCTTAATTAACAAAGTTTTGAAAGTAACAAATACACGTAAATTGCATTTCCATTAACAGTGAACTTTTCAAGCTTTAACAATAAAGTAAGTGTTTTTAATACCATGGCCACTATAACAATTGAATTGTTGACATTGACGAACGGGTTATCAAACAGTTTTTTCCTATCATCATCAGTGATTGTGTCCTTGTGTTTCACTGCCCGGAAACCTCGTCTTTTTCATTTCAATCACAACTGCTTTGTACACTTGTTCGTTTGACGGTACCGGCTGCATGCTTTTAGAGTCCTTATCCGTCAAAAAATTATCCAAATCACCAAACTTGACATATGCAAATCTTGCTATTTTTTACTTCACGTAAGCTCTAACTGGGAATATATGTATAATTTACTTTTCACCTCAACTATTAATGATTAATGTTAATCAAATAACCACTTAGACAACCCTTTGTATGTCCATGATCTTGTCAGAATTTGTTCAAACGCTACTGAGCTGACAGCAGAGGATATTTTCAAGTCCTACAGTCAGTCAGAATAAAATCTGTGTATTTTTTAAAGAAAATATGTAACTGCACAAAGTAGAACCTGTTACATAACAAGCTGTACAACACATGTGGACTAAATGTTTTTATTATCTTCCCGTTGTGACCGAGACAGTCAGGGTCCATACCTCGAGTAGAACTTCTTTGTAAGATCTTTCTTTAATTTAACAAATGTCCTTTTTAACACAGTTCTGGAACACGACAGCAAATCTGCAAGCTCATAGATTATATAGAGTTACAACATCAAACACATAGTTCTAAAATACACCAAGTGCTGTACCCGGGCCATCACAGGCCCCTCCGGCCGAGGCCTTTCCTGGCCTCAATCCTGCGAGGCTCACATTCTCAAACCTCGAATCCCGACTCTCAACTCTGGACTCTCACTCCTAACTCCCATACTACCTATGAAATTTTCCCCAAGTACTTTTAACAATCTATACAAAATTAACTTCTCATGAGTAGGTACCACCCACTGTACTACAAAAGTAATGAGGCAAGTGCAGCAATTTTAATCTAACTTCTAATCTAACTTTTAAGCTTACTTTTCCCTTCCAAAACAACAATGCTAAATGTACCATATGGCAATGACAGTTATCCTGTCTGATTTGGGGAGTTCACACTCTCGTTCCTATCTCTATGTCATCCATGACGAACCTGGTCACCACTAGATGGATAGCCCTGTAACATTATATAATTATCTTCAATTCAACAGTCCCCAGCTGTCAATCAATGCTCGTCGTTACCCAAATCGTAATATTTGACCTCAAATGTACTATTAACCGAAGTGTTGCTCTCTATTGATACCCACTGTCTTACATGTTATAAGATGGTGCCCTTCTTTATCATTAAGTATTTAATTACAGCCCATTTTGTTACAAACCCTGAAAAACTTAAATAGTAAAATTCTTTTCCTACAGATCTGTATAATCACATATATTATGTGACATTAATCATATATAGAGTGGGGTCAGGTATAACTAGAGGCAATTATTGAACACCACTAAAATCACATTTATTCTTGTTGTTTTAAGAGCATGTCAACATATCAGCATTCCGGAGCCCTGAAAATATTGTCCGCTTGCAATGTGGATGAAAAAAACACCCTCTGCATGAAGAGAGCTAAACCAATGAACATCCATATAAATGGAAAGGACACAACTTTTGACAATGAATGCATAGTTATGGAATAAGAGAAACTATTAGCTAATATATGTCACTATACTCGTCTGAATGCATAAATGCACACGTTTTTGTTGTTAAAAGGTTTCCTTCAAGTGTTCAGTAATACCCGACCACACTCTATATATTTTCCAGTACACCACCCTGAACATTAGGAGGCATGGTAGTCTAGTGGTAGGACGCCGGGCTCGTGATCGAATGGTTGCTGGTTCGAGTCATGTCACAGTACTGTGTAGTATCTTTGAGCAAAATACTTTACTCAGCTGGTTCCAGTCTACTTAGCTGTAAATGAGTATGTGGTTGGGCAGTGCTAGAATTGTTAAATGTGAGTACCAAAATAGCAGCACCAGCTGTATGCTCCCCAGGGAGTTGAGAAAGATATTGGCTGGTTGCAAAGGCCCTATAACCCTGGGTAATAATCTGTGAATCGTTTTGAGCATTTAATACCCCTTTAAAAAAAACCATATCAAATTTACAAAAAAATGTCAGGACCTGCTCAGCGGATGATGAGCTCAGTTCCCGGGGTTTTATGCATACCTGCTGCGATGGACTCATTTTCACCATTTCTATCCCATGCTGTCAGAACCTTGGTCGGACTATTGTGCTGATCAAACTGCAAGGCACTGAAATAACAAAACAAAAAAAGGAGATAACTCTTTAACTTCATACAAATAAGAAAATGGAGATAGCTCCTCCTGAACATCGTCCGGACAAAAGGAGGAGATAACTCTTGTTGAAACGTTTCAAAATGATAAATAAGGGGAGGTAACTCCTCCTGAAAATTATCAAAATTATTAAAATCTACTCCATTCTAAAGGATTTATGTTAATGCTAGATGTTAACTACATAAAATCATTAGATATATCAGTTCTGTCAGTTTTTAAGGAAAATAATTAAAGTTTACAATGCATTGAAATCAAGTGTAATCCTTATTTATCTTGTGAAGGAATTGAGTATGATCACTTACCTTATGAAGAGGTTAAGTCTTAGCTTTACTTAACTTGTATAGGAGCTCGAGTCATTCTAATCTCTACTCACCCTGTGTAGGGGTTAGGTCTTATTTTTACTTCTACTGTGTAGGATTATTCTAACCATTACTTGCCCTGTGTAAGGGTTAAGTCTAATCTTTAATTACCCTGTGTAGGGGTTAAATATAATCTTTACTTACCCTGTGTAAGGGTTTAATCTTATCTTTGCTCATCCTGCGTAGGGGTTAAGTGTAATCTTAACTTACCCTGTGTAGGGGTTAAGTGTAATCTTTACTCACCCTGTGTAGGGGTCAAGTGTAATCTTAACTTACCCTGTGTATGGGTTAAGTGTAATCTTAACTTACCCTGTGTAAGGGTTAAGTGTAATCTTTACTTACCCTGTGTAAGGGTTAAGTGTAATCTTAACTTACCCTGTGTATGGGTTAAGTGTAATCTTAACTTACCCTGTGTATGGGTTAAATATAATCTTAACTTACCCTGTGTAGGGGTTAAGTGTAATCTTTACTCACCCTGTGTAGAGGTTAAGTGTAATCTTAACTTACCCTGTGTAAGGGTTAAGTGTAATCTTAAGTTACCCTGTGTATGGGTTAAGTGTAATCTTAAGTTACCCTGTGTATGGGTTAAGTGTAATCATAACTTACCCTGTGTATGGGTTAAGTGTAATCTTAAGTTACCCTGTGTATGGGTTAAGTGTAATCTTAACTTACCCTGTGTAGGGGTTAAGTGTAATCTTTACTCACCCTGTGTAGGGGTTAAGTGTAATCTTAACTTACCCCATGTAAGGGTTAAGTGTAATCTTAACTCACCCTGTGTAGGGGTTAAATATAATCTTAACTTACCCCGTGTAAGGGTTAAGTGTAATCTTAACTTTCCCTGTGTAAGGGTTGAGTGAAATCTTAACTTGCCCGGTGTAAGGTTAAGTGTAATATTTACTCACCCTGTGTAGGGAATAAGTGTAATCTTTACTTACCCTGTGTAGGGGTTATATGTAATCTTAACTTACCCTGTGTACGGGTTAAGTGTAATCTTAACTTTCCCTGTGTAAGGGTTGAGTGAAATCTTAACTTGCCCGGTGTAAGGTTAAGTGTAATATTTACTCACCCTGTGTAGGGAATAAGTGTAATCTTTACTTACCCTGTGCAGGGGATATATGTAATCTTAACTTACCCTGTGTAAGGGTTGAGTCTGACTCTTCGTCTTTGAGGCAGCAACATATGCATGTTTCCAGTTAGCCCTCCACTACTGTCAAAGTGCAGGTCAAGTGTTTTGGAACAAATGTCACTCTCAAGACCAGATCTGTAAATAATAGCTATATAATTATAAATAAAACCCCAACATTTTAGCAGGAGAGAGATAGTTCTTGTCCATCCTTGCTCTTCTCCATAGATACATTATGCAATCACATTGATGCTTAGATACAACAATCTAAATTACTAAAACAAATAAAATTAGCTATTTATGTTATCGTAATCCAATGATAAATTCTATACATTTATGCAACCATACAGATACCTAGGAATGACATTAATAAAATGGTCAACAAATGCATATTTATCAATTTTTACTCTACATGTACCTTTTTTAATATCTTATAATTCACAGATGTGTGGACATTTCGAGTCTTCGTGATCATGATAACAAAGATAAATGATACAGAGGTAACAGTACTTGAAACCTTACCCTGGAAAAACTTTAAGATGCTGAAGCTGCATTCTCCATAACACAGGAAGGAACTGGACGTTATTGTCCACTTCCTTCACCATGGTAACCAAGGGTCTCCAGGGGTTACATTTGGCCCCTTCTCCACTGAGGGACACCATCGCTCTACCATCCGAAGCCATGGAGTCCTCCATGCTGAAATATACAAGGAAGAGATGAAGCAGAGAATTCTACAACTTTGGAATTGATAGGCACTACAGTCATGGGACATTAGTATTCGTCGTTTCCAAGATGGCGTTGCATTGTTTATATATCTAAGGGTAGATTCAAACTCGCATTTTAAGGCGATAGAAGAAGAAATTTACCTCAATATTTTGTCAAATTGCCTTACCTATTATGGTTGGAATTGTGTTGTACAACCTCCTTATATACTCTACAGGAATGTTTTGTTAAAGTCAGTGAGTTTCATTAAAAAAGCTTGACGCAGGTAGTGTTGTTTGTGGCGGCGGCTTCTAGGTCACGTTTGATCTTAAGTCACGTTTTGTTTATATTTAAATCAGGCGATTGGGCTGGCCATCCTGTACAATTTATTCCATTATCCATTTTCCTCCTTGTAATCATTCACTATCGAGGCCCGATCTACAGGGGCGTTATAGATTAATTATCTGTCTAAATGAAATACATATGCAATGTTCATGAAATGCCGGTAAAGTACCAACCACAAATTGATGTCAATAATCTAAAACTATTTATTAGCTAACACCATTGTAATATAAGCGACCCAAGATCATCAAAGATAGATTCTGCCTCATTGGAGGGCACACAAGATAGCTTCTGCCTCATTGAAGGGCACACAAGATAGCTTCTGCCTCATTGTAGGGCACACAAGATAGCTTCTGCCTCAATGGAGGGCGCACAAGATAGCTTCTGCCTCAATGGAGGGCACACAAGATAGCTTCTGCCTCAATGGAGGGCACATAAGATAGCTTCTGCCTCAACGGAGGGCACATAAGATAGCTTCTGCCTCAACGGAGGGCACATAAGATAGCTTCTGCCTCAACGGAGGGCACATAAGATAGCTTCTGCCTCAACGGAGGGCACATAAGATAGCTTCTGCCTCATTGGAGGGCACAAAAGATAGCTTCTGCCTCATTGGAGGGCACAAAAGATAGCTTCTGCCTCATTGGAGGGCACATAAGATAGCTTCTGCTTCAATGGAGGGCAAATAAGATAGCTTCTGCCTCAATGGAGGGCACATAAGATAGCTTCTGCCTCATTGGAGGGCACATAAGATAGCTTCTGCTTCAATGGAGGGCACATAAGATAGCTTCTGCCTCAATAGAGGGCACACAAGATAGCTTCTGCCTCAATGGAGGGCACATAAGATAGCTTCTGCCTCAACGGAGGGCACATAAGATAGCTTCTGCCTCAACGGAGGGCACATAAGATAGCTTCTGCCTCATTGGAGGGCACATAAGATAGCTTCTGCCTCAATAGAGGGCACACAAGATAGCTTCTGCCTCATTGGAGGGCACACAAGAAAGCTTCTGCCTCATTGGAGGGCACACAAGATAGCTTCTGTGTGTGTAATGAAGCTTGCACAATCATTTCCTTTTCCTCTGAGCTGAATTCTTTGCTTTTCCGACCCATGTTTTCAACCAGTGTTTATATATATACACACGCACACGTCAGTATGACGTCGTGAATATGTCATATGATGCTATGGTCTATTTCAGAGAAAGGGTTTATGATATTTCCTGTTTCTATGTATAGGGCACTTAAAAATGAATGCAAGATGCAAATAGGAATACGAATATGGAAAAGCACATAGTTTCCTAACTATCACAACGACGAATACTTGTGTCCCATGACTATACAATTTGTATATATCTGACCAAGGGCAAATATATCTGTTCTAACTCCAGGCAATTTATACACACAGCATGACACAATAAAGTAAAGTGGTACTGGATAGACATCTGAATTTGCCTTATTGAAAATACATTTATTACCTGTCTTTTAGCATGTACCGCCGAAAATCTCTTTGGATGGAAGATTGTGGTATGTCCTTTACATTGTACTACCTAAGGTATGAAAATAAGTCATGACCCCTATGATATAAGTACCCTTACCAAGGGCAAATAAACCCTAAGGTATATGTACCCTTTCACATAATCCCAGTAGACTGTGTGTGCCTGCTTTTCCTCCCCTAACAGGGCATGAACCAGGCTGAGGTAGTAGAGGAGTTTAGGGTCAGAGGTTGAAAGATCAATCAACATTGGCTTGGCTTGCTCCAACCATTCTCTTCCTGAAAGTAACAAACACTTCATTACATTTCAAGAAGTGACGTCATTCAATAGTCACCACTAACTGGTTCAGAGATATCTAGCTTACCTTTACCCAGCCTCCATAATGAAACAAGAGCTGTTGGAGAACAGCATTGCTCGCCTGTTGGTGATATATGTTGTAAGATAGGAAATATCAATAGAAACACGTATACAGTAAAACCTTGATAAAATGCTTGTCATTTCATTTGCCACCTCACTTACCGCCAACATATTTCAGGTCCCTTAATTATGCCCAGGCGATGAGATTTTTGGCCAAAATCCGCTGGCATAAGGACGCTGGGAGATTATCGGCCACTTTTGGGCTATTTTTAGACGCTGCACAGGTCGCCGGGAGCTTTAAGTGTGGAGATAAAAGTTGCCGGTGTCTGTCCGATTTTTTCTTACCCAAACTCATCGGAACCTAACCGGCAGTCTCCCGTAAGAGCACTGCAAATATCGCGGATTTGAGTAGATGATAGAAGAAAAAAAAGTTTAATCAAGGTTACAGCATTTAATAAGATTTAAAATAGCTAAACAATGGATACAAAAACGGTATTAAGAATGTAAATAAAATTAAAAAGCTGCATGTGTAACATACTTGTTGTTTTGACATAGTCCTCCATACTATGATTGGCTACGTTAATTTTAGAAAATATCAAAACGAGAGGAACTCTTTGATCATTTCAAATGAAGAAAATCTTGAATCCTTGTTATCATAATGTTGATTGATAACGAAATTCACAATCACACCGTATTCAAGTTTGAATATCTTCAAAAAGGTCAGGAATCCGCTATGTGATTTCCACTTAATATTGCGATGCCGTAATATGTTTTAACACACCCAGTGAATTAACACTTCTGCCAAATCATCGATGTCAAAAAATATTATGAAAAAAACAATATATACACAAAAAGATATGCAGCTACAACAGAGTAACAATACAGTTACTTTATAATACTGCCGTTAATCCTCTAATTAAGCACAATGAGCGTGGATTGCAGTCTGTGCCTCGAGACATATCGACGGCAGTGCCAGTGTGATACACAGGTAAAATATCTGTCACAACTGTTCGACGAAAAGATAGGATTAACACTATGACCATGAAGAGCCAGGAACAATTTTATGTTCGAGGAATACAGGGTATTCGAGGAATAACGGTTTAATTCAGGGTTACTTTACAAAGAATATGTATGAAGATGGTCGGGACAAAACAAACTTTTCCACGAATGAATTAGGGGTATTCGAGTAAACCGAGTTGAAGGAAGTTGGGTTTTACTGTAGTTTAAAAAAGTAAAATGGGATTTTTTTCCATTTTTACGTATATTGCAGGTGAAAACATTACATTTTTACCTTGAACTGATCCACAGTGAGTACAAAAATAAGTGTCAATAATATGTCGCTCCAGACCGTCGACCTTGTGGCTGTATTTATTGGTCTTCACAACATTCCAAGCCTGCGCTGATTGCTTCCCTTTCTGAGGTGTCAGGATCCTGAAAAGATAATAGTAATTTGATATTAGAATCAATTAACATTGTGTTATATAAAGCATGTAAAATACTTTGATCTTTTTACTTTTGCTCTCAATTATTATCAGTAAAATATTACTGGAATAATAGTCAACATATTGACAGGTATTATGACTGAAATTACCAGTTGAAGAATAAGTTACTTACCAAGGTATATGAAATTTGGTTGATTATTTTGCCAATATTTTTTTTCACCTTTGTATACATGCATGCTTATATTAAATTATATCTATTCTACCATTTACCATCTATCAAAGTATTATGAAATGTGCTTTCATGTTAACTTCAGTGTCTCTTGGACAACACAATAATGTATAGTTGTTTAATATCAAGGATGTAAAATTTCACGATTTTAACTGGAACTCCATTGCTGTGGTTTTCTTTTGCAAATCATAATTTCTGTAAGTTAGAGTCTGTTTCAGAACACCTCGCAAATAGTTCAGAGCGCTTATTAAATTCAATTGTGTATCATTTGATGAGTTTTTCTCTTCTATATATGGACCTGGTGAACTTTGAGAAATTCATTAGTTTGTTACAATCTCGGGTAGAGCCTGCGGCGGTCGGTATGGGAATTGTTTTGGTCGACAGTAACATTGAACTGGTTTTGGACACCATGCTGTCGGAAAAGCAGGCCATGATCTCCATATTCACAACATTTTTTTATTGAATTTGGCATTTCTCACATAACGTGTCAAGGTGACCATGAATATTACCAAGAAGCCCATGGGCCTAAACGGTCGCCTGGCATGTTTGCATTGTACATTGGTGGCGGGAAATTTACATTAGACCAATATTCATTTATAGAATACTCCTAGGATTTACTTTAGTGGCAACGGTTGTCGAATCCATTTGCATTTTGACCAATCAGAAGCCTGCAATGTTGCCCCTTCTGTGGCCCCAGGGACTTAATTAGAACAAATTTGAATATTCATCCACAAGGCATCATGCATGCAAAATAACAGACTTGTGCCATTTTTGGTTCTTGAGAAGATATTTTTTTAAATTATCCACTTTTTTTTCAATTTATGCCCCTTTTTGGCCCAAAAGACTCCAAAATTTTGGTTTCAATAACAAATGATCCTTTCAAAACACTTGCCATCAAGTTCCTGTTGGTCAAATACCCATAACTACTAATTTTCAGAGAATTATTGTATAATATCTAAATTTGACCAATCAAAGGCCACCACTCAGTAATGAAGGAAAAATATTTTTCAAAACACCCATCATTTAATTCAGTATACCCAATTACCCCTATATACCAATTTTCAACAAAATCTGACTACATCTAAATTTTGACCAATCAAAAGCCTACATTGTGGCCCCTTCCATAGCCCTCAGGGACTTGACTTGAACAAACTTGAATCTACATCCCCAATGCATCATGCATGCAAAACAACAAACCTGTGGCACTTATGATTTTTGAGAAGAAGATTTTTTAAAAATTGACATTTTTTTTTCAATTTTTTGCCCTCCATTTGAACAAATCTAAATCCTGTTGCCATGCTGATCACTTGTGCGAAGTGACATCAAATTTGGACCAGCAGTTTTCAAAAAGAAGTCGAAAATGTAAAATGTTAATGCACGACGGACAACAACGCACAAAGACGGATTGCAATAGCGTCACCTTGACCTGAATGGTCAGGTGACCTAATAAAATGCATGATAAAAATCGTAACCATTATGCCAACATCAATACCTACCCCTGGTCATAGAGGTTAGCAACCAACATCAATACCTACCCCTGGTCATAGAGGTTAGCAACCAACATCAACATTTGTGTGGTGACTTCGTCTCTGTAAACACTGTTCTTGCCATCCATTAGCACAGCATCAGAAGCCAGTCTGTAGAATTTTGCTGCTGTTTCCATGGCACCAATCTGGGCATGCATACGGCCCACCTCATTGAGGTACAAACCTTTAAGGCTTTCTATCAAAAAACGTAACACATAATACATACACATGTAACATAATACATACACATACATGTAACTTAGTACCATACAGTCTCCTATACCTGCTAATCTTGGTTATATTCTATTGTTGAAATATTGATCAATTAGCCAAAATTCAAATAAAAAATCTTGATAACTTCTTGATTGTGCTTTTTTGATAATTTTCAATGGGAAGCTTACTGATGTATGCAGTTAGTGTTTAACTGGAAAACTCATTGTTGTATGCAGTTCTGCAAGATTGAATTAGAAAGCTCACTACACTGTCAGTTCTGCTTGTATGGGAAAGCTCACTGTAGTATCCAGTTAAATTGGAAAACTCATTGCTTTATGCAGTTCTGATTTAATGAGGAAGTTCGTTGTTGTATGTAGTAATCTGCTTTTAAGAATTGCTATTACAATCAAATTTAACATGTAACATCAGTACTCCATCACACCTTTGGTTGAACTCTGTGAAAGTGACATGAAATACTCGGTCGCTTGATGGAGGTCTCCTCTGGCCCACAAGGCATATGGCACAACATCGTCAAAACAGTGAGACACCACAGTGGGGAATCTGTTGAATTATAATATGCATTACCAGGGTGAAAAAATCTCAACGAGGGATTAGGGTCCTGACTATTAATGTGGAATGAAAACTTACTGTGTTTACCGACATCTAAAACTGTCTGTCAGTGGAGTGTTGTATAAACTAGAGTTGTAAGCCAAAGGCTAACATATACCCCCGCTCCTATATATACCAGAACTGTAAGCTTAAGGCTTACTAATTAGGCAAAGCATTGCAAAGCAATCCATAGTCTCCCACCAGTTATGATTTCTTTATTGACTGAGCTGTACACTTATTATAGTATATAGGTCACTGACATACTTTCTGTACCTTTTCCCAATGCAAAAACATACTTGCAAACCAAATCTTGTGAGCCTGAATAAACAAGTTTTGCTGAAATCGTCCTAGTAGTTAAGGAAGAGATTTGAGGACAATTTTTTTTGAACAAAGGGCCATAACTTCTTAAAAAGGGTCAGAATGAAGAAAATACTACCATGATGCCCGACAACAGGGAGTAATGACCATATCTGTAAACTTTCATTGAAATCGGCCCAGTAGATTAGGAGGCTGACAGACAAAGTTTTTTTTTCAACAAAAGGCCACAACTCCTTTTAAAAGGGTCGGAATGTAAAAAGTACTACTTGAATGCACAACGTCAGGGGGCAGTTACCATATCTGTAAACTCTCTTTGAAATTGGCCCAGTAGATCAGGAGAAGCTGTCAGGACAAGGATTTTTCAACAAAGGGCAATAACTTCATAAACAAGACGCCCATGGGCCTTAACGGTCACCTGAGTCCTAAAGTATGAATTTTTGTTGTTGAAATATGAAGTGGAGATAATGATGTCAATCATCCCTACCAAAACTTGAATAATTTTTTTTTAAGTATAACTTTAAGTTAAGTTTGTCAGGACAATGAGTTGATCATTCCTCCCAAGTTTCAGTTAAATGGGCCCAGTAGAACTTGACTTTAAGTTTGAAATAGTTTTTCAAAATGGCGGCCGTGGCGGCCATATTGGATTTCTGATCGACCCAAAAAATAACAACACTTTGTCAGGACCACGAGTTGATCATTCCTACCAAGTTTAAGTTAAATAAGCCCAGTAGAACTTGACTTTAAGTTTGAAATAGTTTTTCAAAATGGCGTCCATATTGGATTTCTCATAACAACACTTGGTCAGGGAGTTGTCAGTAGAATCAATGGAATCCCTTTGACAGTATTTCAGCTTAAGTTGAAAATGTAAAAGGATAGCAATAGGTCACTTGAGGTAAAGCTCAGGTGACCTAAAAAGGGTTAGAAAAAATAATACCTGGATGCACAACATCAGGGGGTAGTTATCATATCTAAAAACTTCTGTTGAAGTTGCCACATACCTAGTCTTGGAGGAGTTTTCTAGAAAAGTGTTTTTTCAATAAAGGGCTAAAAAAGTGTCAAAATGAAAAAAATAATACATGAATGCATAACTTCAGGCGGTAATTATTACATCTGGAAGGTTTCGTTGAAATCTATCCATAACTTTAGAAGGATTTTCTCAACAAAGGGCCATAACTACGTAAACAGACCGACAGACCGACAGACAGACGGACAGATGGACAGATAGACAGACAAGCTGATTCCAGTATACCACCCCTAACTTTGTTGCGGGGGAGAGACAGACAAGCTGATTCCAGTATACCACCCCTAACTTCACTGGCGGGGGGGGGG